GGGCGGACGGACATCAGGCTGTCGCTGTTGTGGCTATTGGACCAGGAGTCCCAGCGCGGGTAGTCCCCCTTCTCCAGCACAAACTGCTCCCCAGCGAAGCCTTGCCGCTCGAAGCCCAGCCACCTGCGGGACCAGGGGGTCGGGGATGGCACGGCCACCCCTGCACGGGGGGGAGCACCCCAGCACGAGGCAGGACTGCTCCCCATGACCAGGACACAGGGGATGCTCTCCCTCCGCCCCACCTTCCCCCCAGGGCTTGTCTGCCCTCCGCACCCCAGACTTACGGGCCAGACTCCACCTGGATGGAGCCCACCTTCTCCAGCTCCTTCTCAGTGATGTTGGGGAGCTCCTCTGTCAGCTCGCACTTCTTGCCCTGGAAATTCTCCAGCTCATAGATGGTGATCTAAAGCGGGGAGAGATGCCATCAGCTGCTGCTGCAGCCGCGCTGCAGGGGGGAACGCCGTGCACCGGTGCAGGACCCCCCTTGGCAAATGCAAGCAGCAGCGGAGCAAAGCGCTCTGGCCGCGTCCCCTCCGTCCCTGCGGCCCCACATCAGCGTCGCTCCTCTTCCGCAGCAGAGCTGGATCCCGCCACGTGCCTCTGCCCCGACAGACGGCTCCCGGCCCCCAATCCGCAGCCGGGTATCGGCCAAAGATGTAAAACACAGGCTGATATTTCATCTGTGACAGGCTGAAAACAAGTTGACCGGCTCAAACACAGCATCGAAAACAGAGGGTTTGTGCTAAGAGACCTCTGGGGCCGTGGGCTGCCGTCTCCTGCTCTCAGCCTGGTCATGGCCCATCCTTTCCTTCTCACTGCTCCCTCCAGATCCATTCGCTCCCCTGGCCTGGCCTGGCACAAGCTTGTTTTTTGGTGTTTTCCTCTAAACCCTGCCAGGTGCAGAGACTGCAACACCTCCCTGGGACCTCCTGCCCTCAGCAGAGCTTTGGGGCCGAGCTGCAGGAGGAGTTCGAGCCCGTGCCAGCAGCCAGAGCATGGCGGGGAGCCGGGCCCAGGGTACCCAGCACAATTCGGGGACCAGGAGGGTCAGCACGGCAGCCAGGCTGCACACACCTGCGGCCAGGCACCCCCAGCCCCTGCCCTAAAGGGGTCCCAGCTGAAACCCCTGAGCCCGGGACAAGGGCAGAGCCTCCTGCAGACACTGTGTGATGGGGGGTATCAAGGGATAGAGGCGACACCCGTGGTCCTCAGGACCTTCTTTCCACCCCAAAGCAATAAGCAGCCCAAGCTCCCGGCACCTCTTTATCCTATTTGCAGGATCTGCTCCCACCTCCAGCTTTCCTTGGCCAGGAGCAGCTTTGTCCAGCTTCCCAAGCTGCAGGAAGGGTTGCAGCCATTGCAACACCTACAGCTGATTTACCTCTCACCAACCTACGATCGTAAGAATTATAACCTAAAAAAAGGCATAAGGAATTTCACTGCTCAAACCTCCAGCCAATCCCTACCATGACAGGATACTTTATCTCCTGGATTAAAACGCCGCGCAGCTGCACGCCAGACCGCCAGGCAAATGTACTTGGCAGCCACAAACGCAGCGAGCAGCGTCTCCTCCTGCCAGGCAGCAGCAAATCCCCTGGATGAAACCTCCCTCCCCATCCCGCAGCCCTGCGCAGCTCGGCTCGGTGGGCGAGGAGCACATTTATCAGAGCGGTGACGCTAACGTGCTACTGCATTAGGAGAGCCGGAGGCCGCTTGCTTCCCCAGTACAACCTGTGCTTTGACGCTGGCACCAGCCTGGTGCATGCACGCTGCAACGCACGGTGATCTACAGCATCACCCAAAGTCCGTCTGGAACCAGTTGCCCCCGGTATACCTTGTAATTGCCACCTCGCTCGCCAGCACCCTCCCCAGTTGCCATCTGCTCAGGGGGACTTTGCTGCTCAGTCATTGCTCCTGGAAAACCCAAATTGTAGGAGGTTAAAACAGCATCACTTTTATGTGAGGTATCAGCCTTTTAATTGTAAAGTGCTTAATAAAACAGAAAAGATGAAGCTGGCATGGGAACAGGTAGCAAAAGTTAATACAGTTCCCACAGCTGTAGATCCCCAGGGATGTCCAGGCTAGAAGGAAGCACTCCGTTATCCATCCTCCTCTCCCTCCTGCATCCTCACCCGGGCATCACCGTGGGGCCAGAGAGCCCATGAGCAAACCAAGCCATCTTCCAGGTGCCGCGGGATCCCTCTCTGACCCTGGCAGCTCGCCCGGTTGCTCATTAAACTCATGTCTAAAAGCCTGTCCTTTTGTTTCCAGAAGGAATTTGCTGGGTTTCAGCTTCCAGCCGCTGACATCTTTCCCCACTAACATAAATCTGACAGCTCTCCCTTGCTCCTGCAGCCCTGCATCCCGGGGGGCACCAGACCCTCCAAGAACATCTCACAAAGTCCCTACTCGAATAGGAAACCCCGTCCGAACATGCCTCCCCCGTCTGCTCTCGCCACGCTAACGCAAGGGGTTGTCGAGAGGTTAACAGGAGATGAATAAAAGAAACTTAGTTTGACCGGCGCCCTTAATCAAAGCCCTGCAGCACCACTTCTTGCCAAGCATTAGCAAAACATTTGCTATAGTGAGACCTCAACTCAGACACGCTAATTCTTTTTTTAAAGCCCCTTCCAGTCCCAGCAGTGCTGCCGCTACCTCTCCCAGCGTGGTTCTGCTCTGCCGGCCAGCATGGGCAGCCCTGCTATTTATGGGTTGCTTCTGAACAGAACAGCACATTATTTGGACGCTGATACAGCAGCTGCGTCTACTGAATTCCATCCATGAGATTTCATCTCAATAGCACGGGCTCGCAGCGTGCTGTGGAAATGTTATTCAGATTTCTCCCGGCTGTCCCTTAAAAATGTGCCACTCGATTTACAGAAGATTAACGTCAAAATTCCCATCAGCACGTTCAATGCTACTTCTTGCCAGGTTCTCTGGAAAACTCTCCCATCAGCAGTTAAGGGGAGGCTTTAGCTCAGAAACCAAGCACAGCACAAAGCAAAAAAATGTGCAAAATATTTAGAGCTTGTTTGGGCTCAAGCGCAAGACGAGACGCGGGGCCAGCGTCAACTCCCAGGAACTTTGCTGGAACCACGGCGGGGAAGCTGGGGGCAGCTGGTACCACGGCAAGAGAGTACGACTGGCTCTTGAGATTTGGGTTCTCACCTCAGCTTTGACCCTTAGCGGGAAGGTTTTCTCCATCAAGCCCCTTTTCCTTCTTTGCACCCCAGTTCATCTCCCTACCCTGCGGGTTTGCTGGGAGCACCGCACACACGCTGCCCTGGGCTCAAGGACACTAACAGGGTCTTTTGGGAGCCAAGTGCCTCGTACATGGGTTGATGAATCTTTACAGGAGAAGCGTGATCTAACCAGGGGGAAAGTGCAGTCCTCCCACACCAGACGCCCAGCTGAGAGCATTTTACTTTGCTGGTAGCAGGTCCAATTCCCTCTTCTTCAAGGAACACTAAGCTACTTTCAGCCTACACACATCTCCATTTAGTATTGCTCTCACAGGGTTTTCTACCTGCTCTGAGCGTGTCTCGTCTTGAAACTAAGAACTACACACGAAACATTTACCAAAATTGCCAAAAAGCTACTCTACTAGTACGGGCTGGACAAACTTGAAGTTTGTCCAATTGGCAGATGGCCGGAAAACTGTCCTGTCTGCGACAGCACCCAGATGGAGCTCTCTGCTGCAATTTGCTGTATCGTACCACACATCAGAGCCGTTTATGGCAAGGCTCTTCATCCCCACCCCATCACTGATGCACGCTGGCAGCTTTCCTGGGGAGGTTTGGCCCCAGCACAGAGCGAGGGCAATGCACCAAGCCCGGTACGACGGAGGCGATCCACGCAGTGCCTGGTGTAGCACCGCGCTCCGTCTCCAGCAGACTTTTTCACCCCTGCCCATTGCTGCAGCTTCTGATGAAGGACGAGACACATCACCTCCAAAGGAGATCTGCCTTCCCCATCGGAGCCCGCCCGCGGGATGCTGCACAGCTCCAACAAACGGGAGTCGAGGTGGGGTGGGATAGGGGCCTTAGGAATGCAAAGCTAAACCTGAAGCACAACTGGCAGCGCAGCACAGCTCAGCAGCATGTTGTCACGAGTCAAATGACATTTTGTACCTACAAAGCCCCCAGCACGGACAGCGGCTTGATACAGTCCGTTTTTATCACAGTTCCTTTTCACATTTTCATCTTTTTGAATATGAAACTGCTTGGCTGTAAAATAGAAAATCACTTCTGTACAGAAAGAGGACTGAAAGGAGAGCATGGTATGGATTAATTTGTCTCTTTTACCAAACACAATAGCAGCTGTTCGCAACAGATTAGAAATACAGAATTTTTCTTACGGGTGCCTTCCCTGCCAGCGTCCCCATTGTACTTAGCTCTGTAGTGGCTGCAGTGCCTGTGAATCTTCCTTTCCCAAACTCACGGAGCTTGCACATTGATAAGGCAATTGCGAAAACATGACAGAAGGGGCACTAGATCTCATTGATTTGTCTTCCTAACAGAACTCAATTTCCTTTTGTTGTCAGCCTCTTAAATCCCATTGAGAAATGCTTATAGTGTTAGAAAATATATTTTTTTCTTAATATGTGATAAAGCTAAACTTGAATTGTAGTTGTACAGTACAATACACAACAGCCAGAATATCTTTATTACTTAGGAAACTATGTAGTACAAAATAATTTCTATAGCACAATATATTTATTGTGACCCATATTTACATATTCTATAAGGCTATGTGGAACAATATAAAATTTTAATCTATACAATAGCTCCTTTAAAAACAGGCTTGACACCATCATGTTTAATATGGAAAGAGAAAAATCCATAAGCCATTAGACCTTATTTCTCCTCCTCCTCCTCCAAATCCCACCAGAAGAATCAAAAGTTATTTCAGATGATACTTTTGCGAAAATACTTTGAGCAGAGGATGGCTGCGGGAGGGGGACGGGGGGACACGGGCGGCTGGGCGTGCTCAGGGACTGTGCTCACCATGACCAGCTCTCTCCAACCCCACCTCAGAAAGGACGCCCACCGTTCGCCCTCTCCACTCGTACCAGTGCAGGCAGAACTAGGCTGGACCAGAGGTTCCTGGACACTGCAGTCCCCGCTGAGAGGTATCAGAACACCGTATCCCCAAATCCACATTAAAAAGTTCCATGGAGGCTGGTTGCTGCCCCAAAAGCCCTGTCCTCCCAAAAAGCCCGCCTTTGTTCCTTTAATTCACATGAAGATCTAGGAAAACCAACAACTGATAGCTCTCATGACTGTAGAGCTCGAGCTGATGCGAAAACAAACATTTGCTTTTCCTTCACAACATTTCTATCTGAGGCCAGCGAGACCTCCACCTCGGCACTCACCCCGAAGGCAGTGGCTGGGGCGACTTGTCCAACACATCCTTCACACCTTGGGACGCGGGCTGGGCTGCAGGCTGCTTTGCTGCACCTACACCACGGGCTTGCACCAGTGTCCTTCAGGAAGGTGAAGACGGCGATCTCCGACCAGCAGCACCTTCTTCATGTGAGCACAGTTATGGCCGCCAGCACTATGCTTTTACCGGAATAGTTCTCTTCATTCACAGGGGCTGGCTTGGCAATAGCAGTAACAGTGCTGAAAACACGGAGCTCCTGTACCCGGATGCACCTTCTGCGGAAGAGCCACGCTGCGTGGCAGCACGCTGAAACTCCCCATGTCCCAGCAAAACAAGGTATCCCAGGAGAAAGTGTGGCTTTACCGTTCAAAGTTAGGTATCCACAGTAAGTGATCAGCAAACCCCTTCCACCACACCACGTGCGGAACACACTGCCATCTCCCAAAATACCACATTCAATGGACTTTACAATTTTTCACAAACCAGATACAGCCTAGTCCACGCTGGCAATCCTGCTCTCCTCCATGGATTCACTCCGACCGCATTGGGGGTACCACACACACACAGAGTATTTGGGCTGGGACAACAGGAGCTCTGGATATGCAGTTCCTCTGGCTCCAGAGGACCAAGTTAAATGTCTGCCAAAGGTGCTCTCGCTTCCTACGTGCAGTAACACTAAGGGCAATAATACCGTAGTATCAGCAACAGGGTTTTTTTTGTAGTAAGGGGAAAAATCTGTAGAGACAGAAGTGCCTTTTACTGGGGTGCAGACTTTTTAAAGCATTGTATTTAAAACTATTTAGATATTTGTCTTGGAACTGCGCTGATCCCCACTGAGCTATTTTGGTATATTGGCTCTCCATTTAACACCTTGACATCAAACCACATCCTCAGTTGAACACCTGAGACAGAAGGCATATTTCCGTGTGTTTGCACAAGCAGTAGAGGTTATAAACTAACTGATGCTCCTGCTCCAGATGAAACGGACGATTAACAGTTTGCATTTATAAATCTGACACACAGTGCATTTAACTGTTTGCAAACAAATAAGAGGGTAAAGCAAACTTTTGTGCAAGCAAAAAGGTGGGGGGGTTAATTCCTATAGGGCCACCTTATAAAAAGGTTTCAGACTTCAAAGGCTGAAGAACAGAAACATTGCATCTTTCTCTGCAGGAAGGAAAACCAAAGCAGCAAGACCCTGAGCAGCTACTCAAATTAAAGCCTCAAATTAAAGCCACACAGACCTTAAAAAGGTGAATTTGCAAACAGAAAAATAAAAAGGAACAAATCCGCAACTGGGGATTCCAATCAAAAGAAACAGAATGACTCTGTAAACCCCCAAATGACAAACTAAAACGGAGGGAAGATTTCTGGTAATGATAGAAAAGTGCAATCAGAAAAGCGGTATTTCTAAATTCCACAAACCATGTACTTTCAGTTTTAAAAAACATTACCGATGCAGCATTTTAAGCAAGCAAAAAAAGCTGAGCAACTGTAAGGGAAGGGACGAGGGCACCGCACTCCATGGGGAGTGCCAGGATCTCCATCATGTTTGTTATTACTCAGACACTGTTAGGACAAGAGGTGAAACCTGCTCAAGGGCAGGTTCCAGCAATTAATGAAAAAGCATACCTGAAGAAAGTGCTGAAGCGAAGAGCTCGCTCCCACCTCGTATTAACAGGGGGGAAAAAAAAAAAAAGTATGTGGCAAAAAAAGTAAAAGCATAAAAAATTCATCAAGCATTATTTGGAATTGAAATAGAATTGTATAAAGTGTATTACAGTATGTTCTATCATTTAAGAAGTAATAACATATTTATAGATCTTTTATTACATAGTGATAACCTGAAGAGAAGGAAATAGATATTTAATCCATGTACAATATAAAGAAATGACAGAGCAGAAAAAACACTTTCCCATTCAACAACATTCTAAAGATGCTTTTTAATTAGACATTTAAGCATTAAACATTTCTCAGTAGTAGGTTAAACTACTAAATACAGTAAGTTTCAGTGCATTGTCCAAGCAGGTGTGGAAATGCATACACATTCAAAGGGCTTTGTGGAAACCTAGTATTAATCCCCTCAGTTTCCTCAAACACAGAGCAAACACCGCAGTTACAGAATTTCTGGCCTTCACTCATTAGACCAAGAACCAGTAAATCCTCCAACTATTGGTAATGCAACACTGTCAACCTGCTGAATTCGAAAATCAAGCCTGTGTAAATATTCTCGTAAGCAGGGGGAATTTACCTGATTTCTAGATACTGTCTGAAGTAAGCCCCACTTCATCTGAGTAACGGTAAGAAAAGCGATCATCATTCTTCTCTCACACTCACAAACACTGCTGCTCAGGGCTGATCGAAGCGCGTGTCGCACGTGGCATACAACTGATGGTACACCTTGAGT